CCTGTTCTTTATTTCTGTTAATCTTAAAGGTGCATTGTTATCAATGTACAGTTTTGCATAATTGACCATTCTTGCATTCAGAAGAGCCAGGGTAGCAGGCACATTACAAGTCTGAGATGCAAAAAACAAGTTGAATATAATTAGTGCTTGCTTTTACTGTATTTAGCTCAGGTCTCTATTATGAATCATTCATTTGCTCAAAACTAAATACACTCATGGAATAAAACAAAAATTTAGAAACTATAATGAAGATCCAATCATTGGAAGAGCTCCTTGAAGGGACTCCTGTTGCCATGTGGAGTCTCATTGACTACCGTGGAGCTCTTGTAGATCTAATTGCAGGATTGGGGCTTATTGTTAAAGTATATTGATTTCAGTGTTGAAAGGAGCACTGTCAGTTAAAAATAATGTATCAGAACAAGTTTCCTTGCTTCTGTGAGTTATAACACCTGCAATTATTAATGCTAAAAGGCTTTTAGTCCAATTTAATTAGTTTACATTTCCCAGCATGTATTTTTCATTTAATTTGCACTACTTGCACAGTTGACTTTTTGTATTTCACTCATCTTGAGCAGAGAAAACAGATCAGTTTTTTTTACTTGATTATAATTTATACTGAGGTCCTGTTGGCATGGCAGAAATATCTTAGGGTGCAAATGTATTATTTTAAGACATTTTGTGCTGCTAGGTGAATGCAAAAAATAATCTATTTATTTTCCTTCTGGTCACTTCCACTTTCATGCACCAGCAAGATGTTGCAAAGTTTGGATTTCAAACAATAAAGGAAATGTTGATATCCAGAAAGAAAATAGCTAGATTGTTTGTTTGGATTTATTTTTAATTTATGAAAATATTCAGTGTATTCTTGTTTTTGTATAACACTTTCACTGTAACTAACTTTACATTTTCAACCTAAGCTACATGACACTTTGCTATTCTACATCCAGGATTTCCACTGAAGCTACATTCTCGCAAGTAAATTGTGGCAATGTCTGTGAAGTACTATGTATTATCCCTAAGCATCCTGTATTTTAAGGAAAGCATTTGCCTGTGAATCTAGACTGTGGGCCCAATTCAGGCCTGATATAAACAAATGCAATTCCACTATTTACTACAGTGGAGTTACATCTACTAATATTAGGCCTGAATTTCCGGCCTACTTTTTGTATCTATTTACTGTTGTTGTTGTTATTATTCCTATTACCATAATATCTAAGCACCACTCAAAGAAAACAATATTTCTTCATGGAAACCTTGAACATGTATCTTCCAGTCAAAGCATACCTCCCTCTTTCTTCCTCACAAGTAGTTTTGTACACAAGTACAGCTGAGTAGTATTCTAGAAACAGGTCAACAAAGAGAATTTGTTGTGGGGCAAAATTTCCCAACATTTATTCATGCCCAATAGAAAAAATCACACTACAAACTCTGAGTCTTAGTAGCTATTGAGCATTCTTTCATTTGATCATCTTAAAATACTAGCCATTATTTAATATGTTTTTCATATTTAAATATTCTAAGTAAATGTTAATGTCTACTTTATATTATGAGTCGCAGGGTCATTGGCAGAATACTGAATAGTAGCATAAGGACAGGCCTCTTAGAAGTTGCATAGGCTCAGATCCTCAAAAGATTCATTGAAGTAAGGAGCTTAACTACCTTTGAGGATCTGGGCCTGAGAGACTTGTTCAGGGTCATAAGGAGAGTCTTCACAAGAGCCAGAGAATGGATCCAAGTGTTCTAAGCATTTCTGTCATGTAGAGTTGTCCCTTATCTACTGTATATTTTGAAGAGGTTCTTTGTGGATTTGTTTGTGTAAAATAAAGTCATACTTTGCGATTACCTACAGATACCAAATTTTGCATAAACAATCCTGCCACTTAAATTAGCTGAATGCACTACTTTTTACACTGGAACATGTTGGGTGAAAGGTTTAAATAATTATTTTTGTTTTTCATTGGAAAAAATCATGACTGTTATGATTAGAGTTCATAAAAATATTTGCTAACAGAATTAAAATCCATCTCCCTATTCAACTGTTATTTTAGTGCAAAGAAAATGTTAACTATTACAAATCAGAAAATAATTCAGATTAGTTACAGAAAGAGTAATAAAAGCTTTCCAAGTTTCTGATTCAAATTTACTATGTATAGTGTAATTATTCAATAAAATGAATAATGTTTGAGGTTGAAATCCTACAAATGTGCAACTGTTCTTTTATTTCCCTTTTGCAAGCACATTAATAACAAATTCTATGACATATATTTAATTTCTTGAACTTTCCTATAAGTGTAATATACACAAAATGACTTTTCCCAGTCAACGATGAACCTCACCTGCTAATATCGCTTTAAAAGTGACACTGTTTGTGACACTCATAATATCATCAGATAGTGGGAACCAATTTTTTCATCCTTTGTGATCCTTTAGAATGTCAGCGGAAGAAACTGAAGATAGCTTTCTCTATAGCACCATCTATGTTTATATTCCAATGGAAACCCTTAACAGAGAGACTCCACACTGATATTAAATCATAAGGCCAAATGTATCGAGTTGACCAGGTATGGTCACAATTAACTGAACACCTGACTTTCTGTGACAAATGGCTTCTACTCCTTCATACTGGATGATAATCTATTAATGGACCCTCAATAACAAGCCAGGTCTTCTTGCTGGCCAGAGAATGATATAATCATATTAATAATACAAATAACTGACATAATCCAAAGTTTCAGAGGGGTAGCCGAGTTAGTCTGTAAACGGAAAAACTTAAAAAACAACGAATAGTCTAGCATCACCTTAAAGACTAACAAAACATATAGATAGTTTTCTTAGTCTTTAAGGTGCTGCTAGACTATTTGTTGATATAGAGCCGGTCCCCGAGTTGCGAACGGTCAAGTTACGACCGTTTGAATTTACGACCAAAGCTCCCATAAAGTGGTCATAAAGGCGGTCCCCGAGTTACGAACGCGACCCGCGTTTACGAACAGTGCGGTCGCTATGTAACTCAATGGGGTCCGAGTTACAAACAAATTGAGTTACGGCCAAGTGTTTAGTTCGTAACTCGTTCGTAACTCGGGCAAAGGCTGTTATCAAGCTTGCCCAGAAGGATTGTATGTCCCTACAACTGTATTCAGTAAGAAAGACATAATGGGAACATACCAGAGTGAATAATTAGAACTGCACTTTAAGGTAAGTTTACACGGGGAAAAATATTATTTTTGAAATACAGTGTGAGGTACTAAAAAGAATTTAAAGAAAAAGTGTGTAAGACAAGGGATTCTTTGGAGATGCTATTGGAGATATTAAAGTCAAGTATAAAAGACAGAAGTTTGACATGATAAACTCTGCTTTGGGATCTCTAAATATGATTTTTCTAATAAAATGAGTTATTTTGTAGGAAACCATTAATAACCTTTCCCTGAGTATTTAAAATATAGCTACATGTAAGGGTGCATTTCAGTATTACTTTAAAAATTGGCATGAGATGCCTATAGCATACAAACTTAGTTTCATTTTACAAACCATAAAGACATTTGCTGACGGTGTTTTAAATATCAAATAAGGTTTTTTTTAGCTGAACTTCAGAATATTGCCAACCAAATGGAGATTTTTTTCCAGTGTCAGTTTCCTAATTGCTATGGCCCTCACTTCATCTCATTGTTAAATTGGATCTACCCATTACAGTAATTGCAACATGTGTCCATGTACTTCGAAGAGAGATTGAAATTTAGGATTAGAACTAATGCTGTAAATCAAAACCACATATATATGCTTATTAGCTACATAGATAGATATTTTAGTGTGTATCTGCGTGTCTTTCTGCCAGTCTGTTTGTTCAAGAACCACTCCTAAATGGTAAGAGCTAGGGCCACCTAATTAGGTATACAGCTTCCTCTTTTCCTAACTTAAAGCAAGGTCTGGGTTTGGTTGTAGCAGGACAACTGGCAGCCCTCAGAAAGGGACAGTTTTCCATAACGATGAAAGGGAGCAGCTGCTCTTCCAAGGGACATGAAATGAAAGTGTCCATGATGGCCACCGCACTACCAAAGGATTGCCCCTCATGGCTCCGCACCCTTTCTCCCCTGCACCAGCTGCAGCCCAGAAGGGGGATGCTGGAGCCCTGAACTGGCCCCCACAGCCTGCTCCTCCCCTGTGCAGAGAGCCTGCAGGCCATGGAGGGACCGCTGGAGGCTGGCCTCACCCCCTCTTGACAGGCTGAAGGACATGAGGGGGGTTATTGGAGGCTGGGGCCAGTCCCAACACCCTCACGCACCCTTGCTGACAGCCTGCAGGCTGCAGGGGGCCCCTGGAGACCTGTATCAGCCCCTTGAGCCTGTCCCCCCTCCCCGGACAGCCTGCAGGCCAAGGGAAGGAGGAGGGGCTCTGGAGGCCTGGGCTAGCCCTTGGAGCCTCATTCCCTTCACCCCAGACAAGCTTCAGGAAACGGGGCGCTGGAACTGCTCCTCCTCCCCCCCCCCCCCCGCACGGGCAGGCCACAGGAGGGGGACTGGAGGTGAACCCGGTTTAGAATTTTTGAGAATTAACTGTATATCAAATGTTGTTTGAGGTGCACTTCCAATAATATTTTACACTTTTTATCTAGGAATCCCAAAGTACTTCACAAACATGGATTACGTCTCTTGAAACCTTATGCAATGGATATAGTTATTTATGGATGGGGAATCTGAGACATAGAAAAACTGTGACTTTTCTAAGGTAAAAGTAAGCAGCAGAGTTGGACATGTCCTAGTTTTTAGTCGTTTATTCTAATCATAAGTCACCCTTCTCTGTAAAGAATGTGGTGCTAATATCTTGTAATTTTCATTATTTAATCTTTGGCTGAATGAAACTCCCAAATCAAAAACTAAGTAAAAACTTCTTGTTTGGTGAGTGAGAAGATGAGGAAATCCTCATTTTATGTGATGTATGTTGGTGACAGAGGTAATGACACAGGTAGTCTTGCCCATTGACTCATTAATTTGAGTGGTGAGACACTGCTAGAACTTAATGTTCCCTGTGTATGTATATGGATAGCTAGTTATGACAATATTTGTGTCATGAGAATTTATTGCTTCCCTAGAGCTAGGTGAGTATCAATCTCTTAGAGCAGATCTATGTAGGCACCTCTGTCATCTGTGCATATTTCACCATACCATGATGAATACATCAAAGTGGGTGGGGTGACATTTTTGTCTCATGTTAAGACCCATGTCTTTCATGCATCAGCCAGAGGAGGCATACATTTGCCATTTCTTCTGCTGCTAAGTCTCCTCTGCTAAGGGCACTCTGGCCTGTGTTAGCAGCAGTGGGAAATAATATAGACTTACAAGCAGGACACAATGTAGCAGTTAGACAGAGGCTTTCCAAAAGATAACATTTATGAATATTTTAAAGCTACCAACCTACCAAAGCATCGCTTTTGAAAACAAGAGCATCGCTTTACAATGAAACCATTATGTTCCACCTGTTAGGGGCAGGTATCCCCAGGAAGAGATGTTATAGGCAAACAATTGTTGGTCATAGTTAAAAAGCAAGGGGAAATGAAATGCAAAAGATGGATGATGGTCTTGTTGCTAAGCCACAGTACTAAGTGAGCTTTGTAGCACCATGAAGGGTCAGCGAATCCAGATTCTAGAGGTTTAAGTAGGGAAGTAAGTTCCAACACTGAGGACCGAGCAAATGGACCCAACCTTTGCGGTCTTCATCCAACCTAGTGGAATTTTTGCGGGAAGTGAGCCCACTTTCAAGTTTAAAGGATGCACTATTACATTACTTTTAAGATGTTTGCATTTTGGTACAAATATTCCATACCCCTCTATTCCATAGTTCCTATGGCCAAGGATAGTGAGCCCTTGCAGTGTCATAAGTGGCTCTTGCAAACAAGGGTGCGTCTACACAGCAGGGCTTAATTCAAAATAAGCTACGCAAATTGAGCTACGTCAATTGCATCACTTATTTCGAAATAGCTTATTTTGAAATTGGGAGCATCTACACAGCACTTATTTCGAAACAGAGCACTCTTCCTCAAACTTCCCTTACTTCTCGTACAATGAGGGTTACAGGAGTCAGAGTAAGAAGTCCTCCAGCTTGACAGTATTTTGACATTATTTCAAAATAACTGCTTGCTGTGTAGACACGGACTAAGTTATTTTGAAATAATGCTGCTGTGTAAACGTACCCCCAAGAGAGCATTTCTTTCTTTTGTTGCCTTGATTGAACAGCTTTCATTTTGGCTAGGATTATTTGCTTGTTTTTTTTAATCACATTGTGATTCAGAATTTGCAAATTGCCCTTAGACTTTAAGGACAGAGGTCCAGCTACAAATAGTATTCCATTAGCTTATCAATTCTATTTTATTGGTCCTGCACTAGCAGAGGACTTTATATAAACTTTGCTGCTCACCTTTGAAATACAACTTTATCTAGCATCTGTAAATCTGGCTTGTGTGGTGAGTCACCCTTCACCTGTTGTCTCCTTTGTACTCTGGTGCTGTGTTGGGCTCTTTTCTGCTATATTGCAAAGTTCAATCTTCTTTGACATCAGTGCTGTAGAATGTCATTCCTACTAATGTTGAAGTATTTTTTTATTTTTACATATTTATTAGTGACACTGTGAGACCCGAAAGCAAACATAGTGTCCTTGACAAAGCTTTTCAGGTTTAGTATTAACTGGACATTTATTTCCGTACATTAAGAAATTAGCTTTGTACATACAAGACATCTATTTATAGTTCTTAAAAGGAATTACAGTTCTAGCAGGAGAGAATATGTATTATTTAATAAGTCCCTGACAGAGGTTCTCTTTCAGTTAGGCTTAAAGGAGCACTATCAATGGATTTTAAACCAAAACATAATCTAGTCAAAAAAATGAGGGGAAAGGTGAAGGAATAGATGATCTAATATGAATAAATGTGTTCATTTAACATTTCTACTAGTTATGGGTGTGACCTATGATAGGATATACTTGTGCCAGTTTTGCTTATTTTGCATGTTCCATCATAATATTATGTTGGTATCCAGACTTGTATAATGTTTGTATGGTGTACCTTTCTGCTTCCTAATTTAAGAGCCTATGACTTTACCTCAAAGCAGTAACCTCAGTAAATTAAATTCAGTCTTTCAGCTATACGCTTTTGCTGCCATTTCTGGCATTGCCAAGGAAATTGGTGCCTAACTTAGTTGCAATTAGCTGACATTTGGGACAACGAGGTCAATGTAGTATGATTGTAAGGCCTAGTCTACACTGGGAGTTTAGGTCAAGCTTAGCTGCTTTAGGTCTATTTTCTAAACAAGTCCACACTATCAAATCATTCTGTTGACTTTAAAGGCCTTTGAAGTTGATTTTTGTACTCCTGCTTTCAAGAGGACTAACCATTAAGTTCAATCTTGCATGGTCAACTTTACAGTAGTACAGATGCAGCACTATGAAAGTTGACGTTCTTGGCTTCCAAGAGGTATACCACAGTACTCCATGGTGATCGCCGTGGATACGACTTTGAACTCTCCTGCTCTTCAGGTGAACAGGAAAAGCCCCAGGAAATTCTGAATTTCATTACTTATGTGGCCAGCATGGTGAGCAGACCTCTGAGCTGACAGCTCACCTGAGCAGTACACCTGGCCATGAGCTCCAGGAGTTCCCCGGATTGCAGACGAGTACCAGCATGTAGCGTGGAGGGGATCCTGGACTTCATTGCTGCATGGGTAGAGGAATCTGTTCTTGCAGAACTATGAACCCACAAAAGAGACACAGATATCTATGCCAGATTGCAAAGGGCATAGAGGAGGAAGGATGTGCCAGGGATGCCCAGCAGTGCTTAGTGAAAATGAAGGCGCTGAGGCAGCCATACCAAAAGACAAAGGAGGCAAACAGACAGTTTGCAGCATCGCCACAAGCATGGCACTTCTACAAGAAGCTGCCCGCGATCCTTGTGGGGGGACATGACCAGCTTCCCTAACCAGTCTGTGGACTCCTCCCAAGACACTCAGACAGCCTCAGGTAGCAGTGTGGAGGACAGCATGGTGGAAGAGGAGAAGGAAGAGGAGAACAGCAGGTGAGCAGGGCAATCGAGGTCACTGAGAGCCAAGAACTTTTTATAACCTTGGAGACAGGCCCCTCCTCCCAAGGTGTCTCACAGTTGGACACTAATACTGGGAAGAGCACTTCTGGTGAGTTCACATTTTTTTATCTTGCAAAAAGTGGGTTAAGGCAGTTGGGTGTGATCTGTGGTGGTCACAGTGCCTGCACAGTGGGGGGTCCCCGGAGCAGCTTGTTAACATGTCTAGAGCTGGAGTGGGAATCCTCCCTGCACATCTCCATAAAGCTCTCGTAGAGGAACTCTATCATCTTTCTCACAAGGTTGCTGGGGAGGCTGCTTTATTCCATTCTCCACCGCAGGGCACCTTTCCCGGCCAAGCCAGCAGAAAGTGGTCTGACATCGTTGCAGCACAAAGCACTGAAGCATAAGGTCCAGGTTTCTGGCCACATTCAGTCAGCATCCACTCCTTATGACTGTGTGATTTGGAGAAGACTGATCTCTCACATGACAACCTGGATGAAGCACAGGAAGCTATTAGCTGATGCCTCTGCAGTAAACCTCTGTTTGCTCATCCCCAATGAAGCATGGCTTGAGCCCCTGCCCTGCCCTGCTGTCAGACCAGACTCCTCCTCAATCCCTCCTGCCCACTCATGTAGGAAGGGAAAGTTGCACCTTCCTGCCAAACACTTGGGCGCCATATCAGCCCAATCCAGACCCCCTTCCCCGTTCCTCTCACCTGCCCATGCCTGTGGGAAAGGAAATTTGCACTCTTTTGGAAAATGGAGGGTGTCGTGTGAGTCCCTGCCCTGCTCTGCTGCCATTCCCAGGCCTCCTGCCCCATCCTGCCCACAGGCTCATGCCCCAGCCTGTCCCTTACCAGGCCTGCCACCAAACCAAATCCAGCTGCTCTCCTAAGAACTCTGAGGTGTACCTGATGCAAAATGGCTGCCTAAAAGTATAACTGTGGCCTTGTGCATAACACATCCCTATTGTCTTCAGACAGACCTTCATTATATTCTAATGTATTAGGCTTTACACTCTTTGATGTATCTCCTGTAAAGTCCACACTTTTTGTGACAGCAGGAACAGCAGTCAAAGCTGTGGTGCACTCCTCTGGCCCCGCCAGCTGTCCACCTGGCACAAATCTGCAGGCAAAACAGACTAGAGAAGAGATGTCCAAGGAGCAAATGCAATCCACCAACTTGGACAGGGAGCACACAAGCGAGGGGAGGAATATGCTGCAGGAGGAGATGTGAGGAAAGGAGAACATGCAGGAAACTGGAAGTGAAGGACTAGGAGAGTGTTAATATTATTAATAAAAAATATGGTAAAGCCACATACATGTCCAAACATATATATCCTGATTTTTAAATAAGTTAGACATTCAGTTCTGCTTGTAAAATATATTGTGATTATGTTGGTAATTTGGGGATGCAAATACTATGGATGTATATGTAAATTAGGTAATCATAACCTCAAATGGCTAATTAAGGTCATTTGTGGGCACAGGTACCTGAATTGCATTAGAAAATCACTCAGTTGTGAAGCTAGCTTGTTTGAAAATTAGACATAAAATGTCTGGATAGATAATTCCATAAACCTAGTGTTATATCTCTGATCTCATGAAAAGAGAAAATCCAACATAATCTGAGATTCCTGAAAAAAAGTTAGAAAACAAGCTGACTACCGAAGTACAAATGTTCTTTGTGTTTTGCTAGTACTTTTCAATCACACATACACATTTAACAAGCATACAAATTATAAATCATGTTAGTCAGAAAAATATGGAATATAGCATCTTAGCCAGATTGTTATAAGCAGTGATGTACGGATGCATCATTAATTGTAATAAGAAAGAAACTATTGTAACACTTACTGGTATGGGAGTAAAAATTTTTGGAGGCAAATAATCCAAAACATGTTAATGTGAGGTAGTAGTGTTAAAGGTGGGGAAAGCATAGGCTTTCAAATCTGCAGATATCCATTTTATATCCATGTTGTGCATAGATGCAGATGCAGACACAAATTTTGTATCTAGAACCCTGCAAATTTGCAGTTATCTGCTTCCTATCTGTGGGTATCTGCCTCCACGGATGTGGATGTGGATATTACAGCTCATTTTTGCGAATACGGATGCGGATACACATTTTTATCCGTGCAATGCTCTATTCATACCACAGCATTCTTAATCCACAGTTATCCCAGATTTCAATTGAAGTACCTTCTGGGTTGTTCGCCCCCCTCTATTTTAAAAGATCTTTTTTCATATTCTGATATTTACCTTTGGACACAGTGCTTTTCCCTTTAATAATTCCAGGTTTAAAAGAAGACATATACATTTTTCTGTTGACTATATCTTTCTGTTGAATGAATCTAAGAAATCATTAAAAATACAGCGGATATGTTGTGTATTTTTTCATTCTTTAACTCACATTGCTAATTATAGTAACTTGTGCTACGTGTGTGTGTTGCTGCTGCCATCCCCTGTAAATTAATTTCAGTGGGTTCCTTTCCTAGAAGTAATAAAACAGTGCAGATGAAATGAAATGCAAATGCTTCAATTGTATGTAATTACTATTCAGAAAAGGATCGATTCGGTTTCAAAATATTTGCTTTTCATTTCCAACATCTTGCAATTTACTCTGATATTACAGGTTGGACCTCCCTAGTCTGGCATCCTGGGGACTTCAGCTGTCCTGGACTGGGGATTTTACCTGACCAGGGGAAGTCCATGTTTCCCTGCTGACTGCCCCACTCCCAGGCTCCTCTCCCTGGGCTCCCTCTACTGCTGCTGACCCTGCTAAAGCTGGCCCAGCAGGGGCCCCCCACCTTGCTGCCTGCCCACTGCCCCAGGGTCTCCTGGAGTTTGGTATTCGCTTGGCCACTGCCAGTCCTGCTGCCGCAGGGTGTTCCCTGGGGTTCCAGGTTGGGGCTACCCAGCACAACCGGCCCCGCTGCCAACAAGGGTTTCCCAGTCGGGGCCACCTGGCCATCCCACCTCGCTGCTGGGGCTGCCCTGCTGACGCTGAGGATTCTGTGGGTTCCCCAGCCAAGGCCACCCTCCTCCGCCAGCCCCACTTCAGCGGGAGTTCCCCGACAGATGTTGCCCAGTCACCCTGCTGCCACCACCAGGGGTTTGCCAGGATTCCTGGCCTCGGCAGCCCAGCTGCAGGGAGCTTTGCTGTAGCTGGGGGTACCCCGGCTAGAGCCGAGGCTCTCCAGCCATGTGGCCCTGCTAATGCTGGGGGTTCACTGGCCAGGGCAGGAGGTCCTCGGCCACCTCCTAGCCCCACTGGAGCCGGGGAGCTCTCCAGCCACCACTTGCTGTCTTGATGCTGTAGGTTCCCAGCCAGGGCAGGGGCTTCCCAGATGCTACCTGGCCCAGCTGGGGCTCCCCAACCCCTGGGTTGCTCCAGGGTTCTTTGGTCCAGCAACATCCATGGCCCTGCCAGACCACAGATGTTGCAGGATCAGAGTGTCCTGGATTTGGGAGGTTCAACATGTAAAAGTTGTTGTTTTTCATAATTTGTATTATTTTTTTCTTTTATTGTTCACGTCCCTTAGGAATGTGGAATCTGCTCTCAAACTGAAATTTCTTTCTTCCAGTAGACGTTCAACATACACACTGATTTGTTATTGCAAGGTTGTCAAGACCTAGCTATTAGCAATCATCTTTTAAAGCTGGGAACTGCTGTGCTAGGCACTACACACACAGAGGTGGGCATGGTCTCTGCCCTGATGAGATTACAGTCTTCCAGTCAGTCCCAGAGAGAACAGTATAATGTTAGTTGCAAGAGAACCAGAACGATAAACTAACTGGGATGAAACTGATTAACTTAGTTTCAGTTCTTTATCTGAGTGAAAGGAGAAAACTAAAAAGTAAATAAATATAATTCAATAATCTGTTGCTAGTAAAACAGGCAAGGATATCTTTTTTATGTAGAAATAAATATTGTGGAACAATGTTTCATAACATTAAACTATATCCACTGTTACAGTGGAGTAGACCTGTAGATGATAATCAACTTTTCAAAATTGCTATATATATCCTTGACATAACTGTCTCTTACTTGTCTCAGAAGCAGTGCAGGGCTTAGCTGGCATAAAGACTGAATTGCTTCTTACCCAAGAGGAAGGTGATCGTTACAGGTGAAGCCATTAATAATGTAATAGAGGAAAATCGTGTTGCCAACAATAAGATCTTCATGTAACCTTGTGAGTAGCTAACCCAGTGGCAATTTCTGACCTTTTTTATCTCCTAATTTTCTCAACTACAAATATTTATTGCCTGAGAATGAAAAGAAAATAAATGCCCTTTTTCTGACCTTGAAACAGAGCGACCTTAAATCTCATATATTGTCATTTAACAAATGCACCTACTTCTAATTGTAAAATATTGATAGTCAATTAAAATATTAAGTATCTGCAATATTTTTTGGAAAACAAATGACAGAATTTTCTAAACGATTTCCGTAGAAAACAGTATTGCAAATATCATGTTGATTTATCACTTTAAGAAAGATTTTGAATACTTTTCAAAAGAAATGGACCTGAACTAAAGCGACCTATCTGAATACTCATGAATATAGTCCCACTAGACATGTATACAGTTCTCTTCTGCTTCTGACATGAGTATTATTGACCTAAGTAGCAGCTGTTACAGCAGTTTTCAAATATGCAATAAGGGTTCACTTCTCTTCTGTGTGCCAGAGGTCTGTTGTCAACTTTTTAAAAAAATTGTTCATATTAGGCTATTTTACCCATTAATCAAGATGAAGCATCTATGGGAATAGCAAAAGTTGCTGTCTTATTTGCCAAGAGCTAGGTGATACACAATATATTATGATTCACAAACATAGGAACACACCAAGCACAAACCATGCACAAATACACCCCCCCCCCCATCCCCCCCCCATGAAATTATATATTTGGCACTACCTTAAAATGAAGTTTCCTGAAAATTAAAATATTAATTAGCTATGCTGCTATTTGAAAATCATACTATTGTACCTACAAATTGCATGTTTTGGTGGAATTTGGCTGTTCTTTGTCATGTATCCCATCGACAAGCAGTAGAAGCTTAGGTAGCTTTTTCACTCAGGTTTGAATCTCTGGAGAACAGTTTTAATTAATGTGACATTGCTGAAAACATGTTTTGAAGGAGGGCCTCTTTGAAACACCAGTCATCATTATAGGTACTTTTTAATGAAATGAATTGAAAGTTGCAAAGGAAGAAAAAATACGAGTTCTTTATGCCATTGTGTTTGCAGAAAATCTATGGAGTAAAAAGTCAGTGGGGAAGAGAAGTAGCTGGTCTCAGTAATTTACCATCAGAATGATAACAGCAATGGGAATGGGGCTTATTACAAATAAAAGAAGGATACGGAGGAACGAAAGTTGACTGCCTGGGAGAGACAGAGATAGAGATAAGAAATCTTAAAGTCTATTGCAGAAATGTTTCTCCTAGGGCAACTGAGGGAATTATTGGCTTATGTTTATTGTAATTCTCTCATCCTCCAGATACATTTTCCCAGCATTAGATTTAACATATTAAGAAAAGTCTTATAATAATGGAAATAGGGTGAGAAAAAACAAAGTCTTTCTGTTCCATTTTTTAAATGTGAGAATCCTAGATAAAAAAGTGTTTTCCTAGTCACATAAATAGTCTGAGACTTAATTGAAAATAGGCTCAAACTTGAGTGACATTGTGAAAAAAAAAAGACGTTGATTCCCCTGGTATGTTGCTTTGTGGTCTAGCACTTTAAATGGATAGAAAAAGCACTTTAGACCTTCTTTAGCAGGTGATATGATTTTACTAGATTTTCTAGCTTTACATTTATATTTACAGAGGTGGTAAAAGCCACTGTGCCTCATGGATTTAATAGTTCAAGGGCAGAGATTATAAATGATTGTGGCAATAAAGTAACCTCATTCTAATCTTTTTAGTTGAAACCAAACTTTCTGTTACTCAAGTAAATAACAATAGGAAAAGGGAGCAATTCTGTTGAATAACACCAGAGAAGAGGTATACAAGATCAGGTATTCAGCTATGAAAGTATTGTCTAGTAATTAAAATGTGAAATAGCATAAATGGGAGCAAGCATTCCATGCCTTGATCTGCTAATGACTTGTAGCATTATTTTGGGCAAATCTTTTAACTTCTTAGTACCTCACTTTCCTCACCTGTAAAAAGGTTTAAACGTATTAGTTCATGTTTATAAAAACAAGTTTGTTTCCATGCTTTGATAGGACCATAGATACATATAGGCTACGTCTACACTGGCATGATTTTCCGGAAATGCTTTTAACGGAAAAGTTTTCCGTTAAAAGCATTTTTTTGGAAAAGCACATCTAGATTGGCAGGATGCTTTTCCGCAAAAGCACTTTTTGCAGAAAAGCATCCGTGGCCAATCTAGACGTGCTTTTCTGCAAAAAAGCCCCGATCGCCATTTTCGCGATCAGGGCTTTTTTGTGGAAAACAAATCTCTGCTGTCTACACTGGCCCTTTTGCACAAAAGCTTTTCAGAAAAAGACTTTTGCCCGAACGGGAGCAGCATAGTATTTCCGCAAAAGCACTGACAATCTTACATGAGATCGTCAGTGCTTTTGCGGAAATTCAAGCGACCAGTGTAGACAGCTGGCAAGTTTTTCCGCAAAAGCAGATGATTTTGCGGAAAAACTTGCCAGTCTAGACACAGCCATATTTATTAACAAAGTGTTGAAAACGTGTTTTATAAATCAGTGACAAAACTCCCATTTACTTCAACTGTCACAGACTGAGCCATAAACTAATTGGCTCTACTTCAATATTTTTTATAGTAGGACTTCAACATGAATGCACATTCTACTGGCTCAAATGCTTTCTTAACATCAAGCCCTACAATGTCATTGTTTGTGATAGGATTTACCATAATTAATAATCTTACTATCTCAATGCATAGAACGATTGAGACTCATTGAAATATGCAATTTTTTTTGGCCATCTCAGAAGAACTTTTTCATCTGCACCCTTTGAATTGATTGGGTTCTACATTGTATCGTTTATACTCTGGTATAGCTACAAACAATGGTAGGCAATAGTTAGAATTTTTTATTGCATAGGTTCAGTTTACAAGTTTTATTAGATGGGTATTAGTCAGAATGTCTCAGAAAGTTCCACTATATATATGTTCAATTCATTATTGAATAAATTGAGAAGAGGCATGGAGCAGTGGTCTCAGCAGAAGAATGAGCACTATGAACACCAGAATTCTAACCCCATTCTAAACACCAATTTCCTTTTTGGTTTGTCCAGTGGTGATGCACAACTATAACTAGGAACAGTATTTGACACTAAAATTATAAAAATGACAATGGGGTATTGTGATTCGACATAAT